TGGAAGCTTTACATCATATTGAGATGGAATGCCCCAGTGAAGGTTCACTGCAAGAACTACATCACCTTGAGGATATTGCTATCCAATGTCTAAATGATCTAAATATCTGGCCATAGGCATAGGTACTCTAATGACTGCTCATACATAATTTAATTTTTTTCATAATTTTATTCATCATTCATATTGTGCATTTTCAAAATAATTCACTCTTCTGGTGTTTTAAACTTTGATTCATATTCTTTGTACTGTTTTTGTGAATTTTATGCATTAATGCTCTATTCCACTGTTTCTCAAACTTGGCAACTTTTAAGCTGTATGAACTACAACTCCCAGAATTCCCTAACCAACACATCTCATTGGAGAATTCTGGGCATTGCAGTCCATAGATCTTAAAGTTGTCAAGAAACATTGCCATATTCTATTATGCCATAACAAATAAATGAATAAATAACCCCAATAATTATTTACTTAATTCTTAACTGATTATAGCCATCTCATTTAAACTCAGTGTACATGTGGAAAAATAATATTCACCTGATGTAATCACTTCATTTTATTAGTCGTTTCTTGGTGTTTAATTCTGGCTTAAAAACAATGATGAAACATTTTGGGAAAAAGATACATCCCAATAACCCAACACTAGAGGACAAAATGGAGAAGATCTTCACAGCCACCATGGCTTTTCCATTGGTACTCAGATAAGTTGGAACAAAAGAGATACACACACTGCAGAAAACCAACATGCTAAAGGTGATGAACTTGGCTTCATTAAAGGTATCAGGTAATTTACGGGCAAGAAAAGCCACAACAAAGCTGGCAATAGCCAAGAAGCCCAGATAGGCCAGGACACAATAGAACATGAAGATGGAGCCTTCATTGCATTGCAAAATCATGGTTTCTATGAGGGAATTCATGTCTAACTCAGGGAATGGAGGAGATGTTGCCAGCCACATAATGCAAAGACCTTTTTGAAGAAAAGAACAAGAAAGGACAATGGAAAGAGCCAATCTTTTCCCCACCCATTTTCTCATTGAAGAACCTGGTTTAGTAGCCATGAAAGCTACTCCATTTCTTTATTTTACTCTTCTTTGAGCAATTTTTGTTCTTCCTTTTCCTCCTCTTTCTGAGAAAATGTGTTGATTGTGAAGATGAGTGATCATTTCTGAACATTTTCTTCCTATATTATGAATTCCTACTTTTATGTATTTATATTCTAGGTATTGTGAAGTGTGTGGTGCTCTCCGAGCTTGATTGTTCCCTTTCAAATATTTTGCCTCCCAAGGAAGTAACATATTAAAAGCTTTGCAATGCTGTTTAGAACACTAAAGATATTACCTAACCTAATAACGCTTAATGCATTGTAAGCCGCCCTGAGTCTCCGGAGAAGGGCAGCATATAAATTAAAGCAAAAAAATAAAATAATAATAATAATAACAAAATATCTGGAAAAAAAAAATCAAGCTTAGACAGCATGAAATATTATATGGTTTACACCTGAACTACATGGTGTTTTGTCTCATCAGTAATCTACCGTATTTTTCAGAGTATAAGACACACTGGAGTATAAGATGCACCTTACTTTTTGGGGAGGAAAATAAGAAAAAAACTGATTGGCAGATGGATCAGCCTCCCGGAATACCCACAATCAGCTTTTCACAGAGGTGAATTTTAGCAACAGGTTGTGAGCTCTGTACCTTGCTTTTTTTTGCTTTTTTTTCTGCCTCTGAAACTTCCAAAACTGAGCTTCAAAAAAAAAAAAGCCCCTGAAGTTCTGTTTGGGGGCTTCCTTTTTTGAATCTCTGTTTGGGGGCTTCTTTTCTGAAGCTTGGTTTCTGATGCTTTTTTCAGCTTCTGAAGTGATTTGGATATCTAGAAACGATCATTAGGTGAAGAAAGGTATGAGATTTGCTTACTCTGAAAGTTCATAGACCTCCTGAGATGGATGTTCATAAAATAAATGCTCTCTGAAGGCATAGATGATCTGTGAAGACATCCCTCCAATGAGGACATCACCAGGTTGGTACCATTCATGTGGAACTGGAAAAGGATCAACCTCTGGACACTTGAGTGCATTCACTTTGATCACGGGGAACATCAGAAAGAACAGGGCATCAACTGCTAAAAAATCTTCTAAAAGAGGTCTCCAACAGATCAACCCACACCAATGGATGTGACTGAGCATCCTGGGTTTTCCCAACATGCCTCCTAAGACAAAAGCATCAACCTAAATTTTTAACTTCAATGGAGATACAAAAATATATAATGACTGAGATTTCTATAACCCAAATCTGAAATTGGTCTGATCAAAGAAGGAACAGATGCTGGAGGTAACGAACTCAATAGCCTTGTTTGACTCCTCCCACCACCTCAAGCTCTTCATGGAACCGGAGTTCATTTATAACCTCTTTCAACCATGCTTTCTAGTTTTCACCACTTTCCTGAAAATCTCTGGAGCTTTAAGCAGATAAACCCATTATAGTAATTTGGACTCTTCAAGGAAAAGTTAATTTTTTACTTCATAATAAACAAGATGTACAATAGCGATTATTTAGCTTAGCATGGAACTGAAGAATTTTTGCTTAGAAAAGATTAATGCTTCAATTTTCATTAACCATTGCAGTATTTCCCAGCCACTTATAGAAACAAATAGAGACTACAATGTTAACTGGGTGTATCACTGTAAAAAAAACAAAAAAAATTGATTTTGAAAAATACAGGTCCTTATAGAGATCGTACTTATTGTAAATGGGAGGTCATGAAAAACTTGGAGAAGATAACAATGAAAATCCACCATGTAGATGTGACAATTTCAGTAAGAACTGAGAGGGAGTTTACGGGGTTAGGGTATGGCACGAAAAAAAATCCAAGAAAAGTGGAAATGCCATTTGTTTATGAGCATAAACTAATATTTTCAATGTTTTTTTTTTTAAATGGGCAATTAAATCTAATGAATATTGAAACATTTGAGCTTCTAACAAATTATTTACTGGTCACCAGGCTTATGAAAACCTCCTCCACTTTTTAAAAGGAAGCTGATCTTTGTCTGATCCACTTCTCTCTTCCAATTTGTGTACACCAGATTGTTGGAAATTAACAATGGCAGTATGAATTTCTCTCTCTTTTCCTTTTCTTTGGAAGCCCTGCCAAGTTGTAAGTAACCAATTTTAAAGAATGAAGTATTTATCTGCATAATCTGGTTCTCCTCCTACTTTTCTAAAGTCCTTCCCTGAGGTCCATCTTGTGCCATCAGGACCAGAAATAATGACACCTGGAGAAAATTAAACCTATTCTACAAATATACTCACTATTAGTAGCTATTCATGGCATTGGGTATGTGAGCTTCCAAGAAAATATGTAGAATTGTTTGCCTGAATCTATCACTAAAATGGGAGCACATGGTATTCATCAAAGCTTCAAAACTATACCACCATTGCTTTGGACAATCCCATGAGCTTCAGATTGTATTTGTTTTGGGTTTTTTTCTGGTTTTTTTATAAATAATTTTTATTGTAGTTTTTCTTTTCCAAAACACTAATACATATTCAAACAGACTGTCATTTTTATATACTTTGGATTAACAGTTCACATAAAATCTACATTATATGCATCCTCAACTTCCTTATGAATATTAGCTATTTTTGTTTCTGTTGTCTATCCATCTATACCATTTTTCCCAAACCACATAATATTCTGAATCCTCTTTTTTTAAAATTCTAAGGTTAGTTTATTCATTTCGGCACATTGAAATATTTTTTGGATAATCAATCCCTCTGGTGATAAATTATGTTCTTTCCAATATTGCGCAAACACAATTCTTGCTTCTGTTAGTATATGTAGGATCAGATATCTTATTTTTTCTTTATCAAATTTAATTTTTAATATTCCCAGGAGAAATGTTTCTGGATTTAACTCAATTTGGCAATTTATTAAATCTTGTAGCCAGTCTTGTATTTTGGTCCAATACTTTTTCGCTTTGGGGCATAACCACCAAGCATGAAAGAAGGTACCTCCAGCACTTGGGGCTTAGATTTGGGTACATTTTAGCCAGTCTTGCTGGAGCTAAGTGCCAACAATAGACCATTTTATACTGATTTTCCTTATAGACCACCAATTTTGTTAACGTGTAATTTTTGTTCCAGATAGTTTCCCAATCGTCTAGGTTTATGTTATGCCCTATATTTTTAGCCCATGTGATCATCGGTTCTTTTACCACCTCCTCTGCTCTATCAAATTCTAATAACTAATTGTATAATTTCGATATTAATTTTCTTCTGGGGCCAATCAGCCATTTATCTACTTGTCTTGGTTCCATTCAGATTGCATTTGAACATCTTTTAAACTTTTATTGTTACCCTATCAAATGAAAGTCAACAACCTATTTCATGAGTGCTGATTCCTTTATTGTTCACAGTTGATATTAAGAGAAAAAAAAATATCCACCATTTCAGAAATTTGTTTATCTTATTGAGGCTGCCACAAAGAAGAGGGGAGTCAATGTACTTTTCAAAGCACCAGAAAGTAGGACAAGAAATGTTAATTGACTGGGGATGGACGATCATTTACTTATTCAATCTTTTATCACCTCCCCATCATAGCAAGTTCATTCTTGGTGCTTTCGGGATTCTTCTTCTGAAGAGTAACAAACAGAACACTACAACTTTTATTTGTTTGTTTTTTTATTTGTCAAACATGTACAAGATAACAAGTATAGGTATGAACATAAATATGAACAAAGGAAGTAAATACAGTTAAATGGGGATAGTAAGACAGGGACGGTATATACACAATTTATTTTTCCACAATTCCATGAAAAGGTTACAGAGGAACAATGTATACCAAAGCAAATTAAATTTTATATGTACATATACGGAAAAGTATATGTGTCAAATAAAGGATGAGACAGAAAGAATCCAGTTCACATCACTTCATTTCACTACATTTCCAATATTTTTAAAATCAGTTAATAGGTCACAATGGAAATAGAATGATAACTGCTTGTGACCTTCAAATTCGGATTCAGAAACTTTTTAAATTTTACATTTCAAAAGAACCCTAAACAACTGAAAACTGATATCCCATGATACTGTACCAAATACATGTTCATGAAATGTTAATCAGCTTTTTACTTTATTGATACAGTGATTTATGAACAAAAAGTATAAAAACCATGAAAGAGTTTGGATATCCTTTGAGTCAATATCTGAAATCCCCTAACAGTATTAAAGAAATCTAGATTCTCAAAATCTTCTTCAGGTGAGGTGTTGAAGGGGTGAGAGGGGTTAGGTTAAACAATCTTCAAAAATATTTGAAAATGCAGCATCATGAACACTTCTTTTTGAACGGGTGACATTAATAAATATTAATAATCATAATAATCTTCCAAATATCCTCCTTTCACAGAAATAACTTCTATTTGTTTCATATACACAGCAAATAGACTTTTTATTCTTCTTTGTCAGTATAGCAAGAAAAAGTATATGATGTACTAATTCCTCTTTATTAGTTGCTCCCTGTGGTTTAGCTGAGGCCTGAAAACAATGATGTAGCATTTTGGCAAGAATATGCATCCCAGTAATGCAGCGCTGGAAGCCAAGATGGAGAAAACCTCCACAGCTACCATGGCTTTTCCTTTTGTGCTCAGATAGGCTGGAAAGAAGGAGATCCAAACACTGCAAAAGGCCAACATGCTGAAAGTGATGAACTTGGCTTCATTAAAGCTGTCGGGTAATTTGCGGGCAAGGAAAGCCACAATAAAGCTGGCGATGGCCAAGATACCCATGTAGCCCAAGACACAATAGAAGAAGAGAGCTGAACCCTCATTGCACTGTAAAATTATTTCTTGGAGCTCTGAGTGCATGTCCAACTCAGGGAATGGGGGAGATGTTGACAACCAAAGAATACAAATGCATACTTGTAAGAGGGAACATGAAAGGACAATAGAAAAGGACAATCTTTTCCCCACCCATTTCCTCATTTGAGATCCTGGTTTAGTGGCCATGAAAGCAACAACCACAGTAATAGTTTTGGCCAGGACACTAGAAATGGCCACTGAGAAAGTGATGCCAAAAGCTGATTGTCGGAGAAGACAGATCACTTTACCAGGCTGGCTGAGGAACAACAAAGAGGAGAGAAAACAGAGCAGAAGAGAGACAAGCAGGGTGTAGGTGAGGGACCGGTTGTTGGCTTTGACAATGGGAGTATCCCTGTGTTTAATAAAAGTGCCAAGTACCCACATTGTGAAGAAGAAGAAAGAAAGAGCCGTTGAGGCTAAAGCAATTCCTAGGGTTTCTTCAATATTTAGAAAGACCACCGGTTTCACAATGCATTCTATCTTTTCCTTATTTGGATAATGATCTTCTGAACATTCAAAACAGTCATCCATATCTGGAAAAAAAAGTCAAGGAATTTGTTATCTATGCATTCCCTATTTTTAAATTTTATTTCAGAGTGGGAGCCACATGTTATTCTTTTGAGTTGTTTCCAATGGCTATCAATTTGATTGTGTTTCTATATAAACACAGTTTTTCTTCTATTGTATCATTTAAGGTTGGCATAAAATAAAGTGCAATTACTCTTAAAATGCAGTCTTTTTAACATTTTCAAAATTAATACAGTATTGAAAATTTCGAAAAATGGAGAAGAAAACTCTGATGATCGACCTCAGATTTCAATAAAAGAAGCAGATGGAGAACATCTTAGATTCATTCCAATATAATTAATTTAAACCCTCTAGCTTTTCTCCTTCCTAAAGAGTGAGTAATCTAGGAAACATTAGTATTTTTATTTTGAAGAAAAAGGTGTGGTTCAACAAGCAAAAATAAAATTACATACACTTATGTTTAAAATTGTTGTTGTTCAAACACTAACATGTCTGATTCCCTGCAACATCATGGCCTTGTCGTCAACTGTCTCCTGGAGTTTGCCCAAATTCATGTTCATTGTGTAGATGACAGTATCTAACCATCTCATCCTCTGCCGTCCCCATCTCCTTTTGCCTTCAATCTTTCCTAACAACAGAGTCTTTTCCAATGACTCTTCTCTTATTTGGTGGCCAAAATATTTGAGCTTCAACTTCAGTATCTGTTCTTCCAAAGAACAGTCTGGATAAATTTCCTTTAGGATTGGATTTTCAATATAGGGAAAAAGTATCTTACTGTGGTCCCTGAATTTTGTCCTGAATTTTATGATGCTTCTGTATTCTATGATGACAGCATGAGTAGGTAGATGGATGGATGAAAATTAATGGATACAACAATGGATATATGGTAAATCAATGGATGGAAAGTAATCAAGGAGAGGAGCAATGTGGAATTAGTGACTAACAGTGACAAGAATTAACCAGGGGGACAACTTGCCATCAGAAGTTGTGGGGACTTCATCACTGGAGGTTTTTAAGAGACTGGTCAGCCACTTGTCTGAAATGGTATAGGGTCTTCTGCTTGAGCAGAGGGGTGGACAAGAAGACCTCCAAGGTTCCTTTCATGCAACACTCTCTACATGGGGCTCCCCTTGAAGAGCACTTGGAGGCTCCAACTGGTCCAGAATGTGGCCGCGCGGGTGATTATGGGGGTGACTCATCGAACCCACGTAACACCTCTCCTGCGTGAGCTGCACTGGCTCCCAGTGGTCTTCCGGGTGCGATTCAAGGTGTTGGTCACCAACTTTAAAGTGCTCCATGACTAACGACCAGGGTATATACGAGACCGCCTTCTGTCGCCGACAGCCTCCCACCAGCCTCCCACAGAGAGGGGTTCCTCAGGGTGCCGTCGGCCAAACAATGGTGACTGGCGACGCCCAGGGGGAGAGCCTTCTTTGTGGGGGCACCACCCCTCTGGAACGAGCTGCCACTAGATGTGCATATGATCCCAGACCTGAGCACCTTTTGCTGCGCCCTGAAGACCCAATTGTTTCAAAAAGCCGGGCTGGCCTAACATGAATATGAATTTTAATGGGTGTATGTAAGTTTTTTTTTAATTTGTGTGCCAAATTTTTGTATATTTGATTTTAATGGTTTTTAAATTTTGTAAATTTTTTGTGTTTTAATATGGCTGTACACCGCCCTGAGTCCTTTGGGAGAAGGGCGGTATAGAAGTCTAATAAAAGTAAAGTAAAAGTTTCAGCTCTATTCTGATATATTAATTAGGTTCTACAGGTATTAGAGTCTTATATGAATATTTGATCCATTTACAGATCTTTCCTTCTCTATTGAAGCTTCTTTTGTTTCCCTTACTTTCACATTTTCATAGAAGATAAAGTCCCAGAAAATGGCAGATCAAGTTTCAGTTAACAATTAATAGAGTTGGAAGGGACAATGGAGGTTTTCTAGTTCAACCCCCTGCTTGGTCCGGTAACCCTATACCCTTTCAGACAAATGGTTGTCCAATAACTTCTTAAAAATTTCCAGTATTGGAGCAGTCACAACTTCGGGACGCAAGTTGTTCTACTGATTAACTGTTCTAACTGTCAGGAAATTTCTCCTTAGTTCTTGGTTGCTTCTCTCCCTGACCTTTTACCAGCCATAGGTCCAGGTTTTACAAAAAAAATATTTTGTTTATTGAGTTGTAGAGAGAAGAACAACTAATTCAAATAAGGTTGAAAATGCAATATATATTATATATAGAGAGAGAGGGAGGGAGGGAGGGAGGGAGGGGGAGAGAGAGAGAGAGAGAGAGAGAGAGATTATTGAGCCATAGAGTTTATATGATGACATGATGTCTGTTTGTCTGTCTGTCTAACTATCTAGCTAGCTATCTAGCTAGCTATCTACCTATCCACCTATCTACCTATCTAGCTAGCTATCATCTAGCTCTCTAGCTATTTGGATCCACCCACCTATCCACCCACCCACCCACCCATCCATCCATCCATATATCATCTGTCTGTCTGTCTTTCTGTCTTTCTGTCTTTCTGTCTATCTATCTATCTATCTATCTATCTATCTATCTATCTATCTATCCATCTATCCATCTATCCATCTATCCATCTATCCATCTATCCATCTATCCATCTATCTGGATAGGAAATACCACCTGCAGAAACCTGAATGATACATGGATTGGAATTGGAATAATGGATGGAAACTGAACAAGCAGAGGTTTAACCTGGAAATAAGGATAAATTTTCTGACAGTGAGAACAATCAACCAATGGAACAGAAGTTGCCTTCAGAAGTTGTGGGAGCTTCATCAATGGAGCTCTCACTTTCAAGGAGAGACTGGGCTTCCATCTGTCAAAAATAGTGTAGGGTCTGCTTGTGTGGGGGGTTGGACTACACGGTCCCTTCCAACTCTGTTAATCTGTTAATAAGTTAAGATTGTGATTCAAGGATTAAAAAATGAATATTTGCCCTGAAGTATTCATAAATCTAATAATGATATGCATCCTAAAGTATTGTGTTACAGTTTGCTTAAGGATATCTGGTTAAGGAAAGCTTCCTGGAATGTCTAACATACCCATTTGATTTGAAATCTTCCCTTCCAAACATCGAACGCAGTCATAGCAACAGAATTTTTTTCCTTCATCTCCTTTTTTCCAATATCCAGGGGAACAATGGTCATTACACCGAGAAAGTGGAAGAACCTGGTGATGAACATAAAAGATTTTGAAAAGGGAGAGCTTTAAAACAGTTTCTGATTTTTTTTCTTGTATGGAGGCAGATAGTATTTTATTTCCCAAGTGGCTGCTGAATTTTATCAACTTGGATTTCTACTGTGCATATTTGTGCAGGTTTTTACACAATCATGATTACCTACCTGGTTAAATCCAGGGTGCCAAAGGATTGTGTTCCTCTCAATGATGAGTTCTTTTCCTTCTGGAGCATTGGACCTTAACTCGCCAACTTTAACTCTCTGAAAAGATGTGTTCGGAAAAGTGATCATGTTGACAATGTCAAAACCACCTTGACCTTCCCTTTTGTCTTTAAAGAAGACTCTTTCTCCAGCTGAGTTGTTAAAAGAAATCCCTTGAAGAAATTTGTGGAGCTACTTGAAGAAGGATAAGAAAAAGGGATTACAAAAGAAAACAAATTGTTAGGGATAGAAGGATTAAAACTTCCCTTTATTTTGCTCTCACTTTCCAGGAAATGAAGTCTAACAACCCGGTCTTTTGACTAAATCACAAAATACTAATCAGAAAAATGAAATCTCCACATTTTAGAAAAGTGTATTGGGCACAAAGTAAAGAAACACTGCCTTCAGATGTTTCTTCATTCAATTTTTCTTGGAAATGGGCTGGATACATTTACAAGACAGGCCAATTCTATGTGGAAATGAAACGGTTATTTATAGAACCAAGGATGATATATAAACCTCATTGGCTAGACTGAAATTTGCAAAGGCATTGGTTATTTTCATCTTCTTGTATTCTGTAACTTAGAATCACCTCTTACACCATCAGTTTTGTTGCCTCAATATTTGTATTGATATGTGAGTATAGACCATAGCAAACAAGCAAATAATCAGTAGTGGAGGAGAATGACTATTCACGAAAACAAAAGATAGGTAAAACATCTTTTGAGACATTACCTGCCAAGGCTGAAGATCTGGAAATTCAAATCTTAGAATCTCTCTCTTTTGGGATCTTGAACTCACCGCTTCGTGCAAAGAATGTGCCACTGCATAGACAGCATTGTGGATACTGTAACTTTGGCCAGTCATTTGCAACTCAAACAGAGGCGCAGGCAGATTCTCCAAATTTTCTTCTCCACTACAAATTTGATCATTCATTTCATTTGAAAATGAACAGTCAAATAATTGCTCCCAGACTTCTTGAAAAAATCCATTTTTGTGGGTTGAAGGCTTGATGCCTTGAAGAAATTCTTTGAAGCCTTGAACTTCTCTTGAGTGCACTGTAAAGGAAAGAGCCCCGTGGAACAACTGGAGATCAAAACCTCTTTGAAATGCTGTCAGTATGAAATCAGTTGGGTCCATCAGGATCCAAACCTTTCTAAAGGATGTGCTCTCTTTATCCTCTAGATCACATAGAAACACAACCATTCTGAGCCACAAAATTGTGAATGATTCTCCATAGACGAGAAAAGCATTTGCTTCGTCATCTATCAGTTTATTACAGATGGTTGAGTTTCCCTGAAGTAATTCAGACACGTTTTCCAAGTTTACTAATTGTGGAATATTATGTGAGAAAGCTATGCAGATGCCATTCTGGGAAAGCAATGACTGCAGTTTCTGGAAGAAACGTTCTCCTTTAATAGTGTCAAGAGTGACGACTCCTATCCACGTCCATCCAAAATGAAGAAGAAGTTGTATAACTCCAGTGTACTGATGGTCCTCTTTTGGGACCATGCAATAAAGTGAAGATAACTTAGTAGTCTGGAATTCTTCTTGGGCAAAAGAGCCATAAGTCAACTAAACTAAAAAAAAGGGAGAGCCATTATTCATGAGAAGCAAGGGGGAAATAAGGGAAAAAATGATTGCTTGCTGGATGTAAATTGAATGAAGGTGTCCCTACACTGAAAATTTCTCCAGTTATACATACATTATGGAAGATGAACAATATAAGCAATAAAGTTTCAAAATAAAATATTTTCTCACCTATGCAATACAACTGGATTAGCATCTTGATACAGAGTTCTCATGAACACCTCATGAACACCTACATTTAGCTAATGTAGCTAAATCTGGACAGAAGCTACCTTGAAGCAACCAAGGAGAGAAGCAACTTAGAACTAGGGAGAAATTTCCTAAATCAACCAATGGAAGAGCTTGCCTAAAAAAGTTGTGGGTTCGCCATCACTGAAGACTTTCAAAAAGAGACTGGACAATCATTTATCTGAAATGGTATATGGTCTTCTGCTCGAGCAGCGGGTTGGATTACCTCGAGCCAAAACACTGCATTGTGACATCCAATTACAGAAGGATTGCAAAGTGGACTTCAGTGAAGTCCTGCAGAAAGGCATAGAAAACATCTAATATCTAACATTCATTAGAAGTCAAAGTTTCTCTCTCATCCCCCACCCAAACTACCTGTGGAATTTTGTAGACATTTACACATTCTGCCATATAAGATGATGTATCCGAGCCTAATCCTCCTATGATGGCCATGAGATTCTTCTGGCTATCACATTTGTAGTTAGGGACAAATTCCTGGGATTTGAAAAGCAGGTCCAGAGTGGTGCGATAGGTCATCCTTGGATTGTGATAACTATCATAGATGTGAAACCCGAGAGTGATGTTAGGTAAAAGCTGGGAGTCCTCATTGATCTCCTTCACAGCAAAGGCTAAGGCAAGGACGTGCTGGTAGAATTTGGTTATTACACTGCAAATAGGTTAAATACCCCAGTTGAAAAATGATTCTAAAATACTTGTAAGGTGGCAACATAATATAAGAAGAAGAAGCATTTCTGCCTCTTACTGAAGTAGATAGTTTACAGGTTTTCTAAAACCCTCAATAATTAGTGCAGAATTTAAATATACTTTTTACACAATAATTCTATGATTTGCAACAGATGTGTACTACAACAATAGATTAGATTTTTTTCAAGCTATCACTTTTATTTTCTATCCACAGAACACAAATCTGAATATGAATAGGTCATGTAGACCTTTTAAAAAAGTACCTTAATCTCACTAAACATTCCTCAAAGAACTTCTTGCATACATTTTACAAGAAAGACTTTAACATAATATAATGGAAATTATTCCTTCTCCCACACCCAAATACACTTGAAAGACAAACAGGGTTAGATAACATTACAAAAACACAGCATTTATGTTCAAACGGCTTTCATTAGTTTTCAGAAAGTTTTGAAGGATTTGGTTAAGCTTAGAAACTGTGTGGAAAGAAAAGAAAACCCTTACAGTGGTAAGCTATAACCTTTTAAAGACGGATGCTCCTTAAATTTAATTTCATAAAAGTGGTAAACAATGTGAGACACCATCCCACCAAAGATAAGGCCACCAGGCTGGTACCACTCGTGTGGAACAAGGAAAGCATCACTTGCAGGGCAGCTCAGAGTCACCACTTTGTTCATCAGGAATACAAGAAGAAGTAACTTCATGACTCTCTGCTTGGGGAGAAAATATCTGGATCTATCATTGAAAGAGACGTTCTGGAAGAGAAGGCAGGAGATAGAGAATGTGTGGAAGTGAAGATAAGAGATTCAGCATTAGCCCTTTCCTGCCTCCATGTGGCCCTTGAAATATTTATGTGGATGGTTTCTCACTTCCTATTCCTTTCTGCACAGAACTTCTGGTGTTTTGGCCTTCTAGAATAATGCAGTGATTTCAGTAATTCATAAGGGACATAATTATCATTGAACAATAGGCAACCTGACAATTTTCTTTATGTAGCCAGTCGACATCTTTCTTTTAGATAATGTAATGCATGACTGAGACTGAACCTGTTTTGAAAACACCTGGAGAAATAGCATTGGACATTTAGTGGGTTAAGAGTTGATATTGTACTTTGTATTTTTATATTATTCTGTACAGACACGCATACTGGATTTGTAAATAATATTTCCCTTTGTATATAATCTAAGATGCTAGCATGCTGAAGGTGATAAATTTGGCTTCACTGAAACTGGCAGGTCATTTTCAAGCATGGAAAGCCACAATGAATCTTCCAATGGCTAGGAAGCCCATGTAGCCAGGGGTGAAATCCAGCAGGTTCTGACAGACTCTGGAGATATGGAGAGCATAAGTGAAGTCTCAATTGTTGGCTTTGACAACTGTTTTTTTTTTTTAATGAACATTCTTAACACTGCAGCATTGACGAGGGACAAGAAAATTGCAAGTGAAGTGACAAGGATGCCTAAGATTTCTTCATATGACAGAAAAGTCCTTCTTTTGGGAAGACAATGTTTCTTGCTTGGGTATTTGTCTTCTAAACACTGAAACATTCCAAGAAAATGTATTCTTGATTCATGAAGGTTAAGATTACCTTCCACTCAGGGGTGGGTTCTACTTACCTTTACTACCGGTTTACAATGGGATCACCGATGACGACATCGGGGGTAGTGGGCGTGGCCTCCCGCTAGTTTTACTACCGATTCTTGCAAACTGGTCCGAACCAGGGGCAACCCACCACTGCTTCCACTTCCAGATGGAGTAAGAACTATAATCTTGATTTATGTTTTGTCTCCAGAGATATGAACAGTAGACCATTGCATTGTAAAAAAAGAGCACTGACGGATTTTCCTTGAAGACAGCACAGGTATGAGTTGTTAAATGTTGGAGTGCAGATCCCAATTGCAAGATCGACCCCTAAGCCTTGATGGATTTTTCAAAAAGCCAAATGGAAAGTTTTTGTGCTGAACCTGACCACATCATCCAATGGACCCCCCCCCCTCGAAAGAGGAAAATGACAATTGGTTGTGGGATTGCTACTTTCCATAGCTAAGAAGTGTATCCCAAGGGGCTATAAAAAAATAGACATCCAGGATGAGGGCAAGAATGCAGAGACTTACACAATCAATATCATGATCAAATATTCAGACTCATATCTTGTAATCCACCATGGAAACCTACAGCAATTAATTGCTGATTAATTAATATTAATTGATAGACTTTGATATTACAGTATGGTGCCTAAAATCGGTAACTTCTAACCAGATCTGTTTGATTTAGTATCTGACACAGTTCAATACCCTTCCGGTTTTGATCTTCGAAGGGAAGATTAGACAGCACTCAATCAGATCCAAACCAAGAATGGCATATTCCAATATTGGAAAAACAAATGGGAATTGGTGATAATACTAAATGTGATGGTGAGAACATCCTGGAA